TAATTAAATTTTACATAACGGTTGAGCACCATTACGATCATTATCTAATTAATTGAGTGTGCTACTTGAGAACACCCGAAATCACACCTCCATGCCGTCTAAAGATATTAGTACCTACTTGTTAGAATGATACTTAATACAATAATCTCTCCTATACTTTGACTCTATCAAATGTATATAGGATCCAAATATTCTATCTCGTATAATCTTTTATAACATAACCTTAGTCCGTTTAATTTCAGTACAATAATAACATATATAACTATACAGTAAATCTCTATCGCATCTTGAATAAAAATTATGGTTAGTTAACTTGTTCTTTAGACTTTTCTAAAAAATTCTATATGAAATACATAATAAATGTCATATAAATCAATATTTTTTACCTAGCTTACCTATACTAAATTGTTACTTTAACTTTTTTCCTTTCCAGTTCGCTTAACAAACTGAATTTTAACGTTCTAGCAGGTTTGTATTTTATATTTTCTTATTTTTATATATAGCATTCACTAGATAAATTGAATATAAAGATGTGTGGATTCAGGTGGATCAGCCGATATTATTAAAGTACTGCGCGAAAACTTCAAGTTTGCTTAGTGGACTTTTCACATTTCATAAGCTACACAAGTCTCGTGAAAAAGTACTTTAAAATGTATAAATTACAATGTAAATCAATTGTGTAACGTGTTTCTACGGTTCCTCCTGTTCCGTATATAATAGATTTATACTTTATAGATTTACACCTTTTTCTAGCAATTATTTGAGACCTGTTTTTAACGAAATAATGATGCGACATTATATATGAGTATTATTATTTTGGTAGTTTTTTAACTTTAAAAAAATGTCTTTAATTAACATTGGTTTTGTTATCCCAGAAGGTGAGACGGAGATTGAGTGCGTATATGTTGAAGAAAGAGTTAGAAGTGAGTCGTCACACAAGAAGGGGAAATGGTTAGAAGATAAAGCTGTTGTATGTTTAAGAAGCAAAGGTGTTAGTTGTGTAGGAACAGGGTGAGTTTATTCACTGGGTTAATGCGTGTGTATTGTGTTCTGAAGTTACGCTGCCACTATCGATGTAAAATACCTAGAATGAAAGCTCTTCGTGGCCAACAGTTTCGGCTGTTGAACGTTCTTCTAGTTTTTGATGTTCGGCTATGCCTGCTACAGCGCTTCCGAATTTATGGTGAATAGGAATACATACAGACCGAGAATTGAAAGCACTTCGTGGCCAACTATTTTTGTTGAACGTTCTTCTCGGTTCTAGAAAAGTTGCGATTTTCTACCACGTTACTCATTTTTTATCATTTTATACTAAAAGTCGCTCAGGGGACGGTGGAATTGATATACGCGGGAGTATGTATGGAATTTCTTTTGGTGCCCAATGTAAGAATTATAGCAGAAAAATTGGTAAATATATATATTTTTTGATTTTGGCATTCTTCATCTTAAATAAATATATAAATATTTTAAATTTAGGGCCTGCGATTGTCCGTGAGTTGAGAGGAGCTCTTGCTTTAATATCTAACTGGGTTTTAGGTGTTATAGTGATCCCTTCGAAAAGGATATATTTGAATGGTAAATGGGTAAATGGATATTCGCGTGATGCATATGATACCGCAAATAAACTTGGAATTGTACTTACGGATTTAAATGATATTTATTTGGACATAAAAAGGGCAGTCGTTAATCGATTTAAATTTTATTTTTTTTCTGTATTTATAATTATTATTTTTGTATATATTTTTATTTTGTTTATCTAAAATTGCTTGACGGAAGTTTCCATCATTCATTAGGCATCATTGCGAGATCTCATAGAATTCACTCCGTAAAATCGTTATGCGCAAGCTACATTTCATTTTTCCGATGGTCAATTCCCCGACTTGCCATTTATCAGGCATCACATAGTGTTAGAGTTGGCATTTTTATAAGCTGTAGGTGTATATTATCACTGTGTGATGTCAGTAAATGGCCTGTCGAGGTAATTGTCATCGGGAAATTAGATGTAACATGGGTTTAAAAATTATTTAATACCGTTTAGCGTAGCATACAATAGTACTCAAAAATGACGAGATATATTAAATAATACTATAAGAAGAAGGGGATACTACGCAAGAGGTATACTCAAGAGAGGATTAATCATGTAAATTGATCGTACATATAACAGTGCCTTAATTTGAACTATTTTAATAGTACCGGGATACTTTTCAAAAATGTTGGAATCTACAATCGAATCTACAATTGAATAGTACCATGATACTATTCAAGGAGATCATTTTTAAGGTGCACTGTATGCAGTGCTGCATGATATAAATTATCTTTGGCACAATCAAACTTTAACATAATTTTGGTTTGATATTTTGTGTCACAATATAACCATTTTTCATATACTATATACTAGCATAAATAAAAATTTTCTTTAAATATATTCGATTATTTCTTTTAGTAATTTTTGGATAAAAAACATAAACAGCAAGGTATTGATTATTGATTATCAGAAATTTCAGGCAAATCTAATAATTTATCCGTTATCTCTCGTGTGTTAATGAGTTTGCTGGCATACAAGTAATTCGGATGTTTTGATGATTTGATATTAAATTTAATTTTATCTGCTTCCAAAAATTGCTTTTTAAATTCATTATCATCATCCTGATCCATCTCGTCAAGCCAATGACCAATTTTATGAGCAATAACAGATGCCGTGGGCCGTTTACCCTGATTCTGCTCCATGCATCTAAACCACAAAGAAAGCAATGTATGTATTTAAAATTTGATAATTTAAATATAGTTATCATTTAGTTTCTAAAAGAAATTTTTAGGATCATCTTACGCTTAAAATCAAAGTTTATGGACTTTACTGGAATATTGAAGAATTTGATTAGCAACATCAATGAATCGAAGGTTGTCTCTGATCCCAAGGGCAAGGGATTAGCAATTATCACAGAAATCTTCAATTTCATTAAATCATGATTCAAAAACCTATCGAACTTCATACATTCAAAGAAATTTCCGTTTCTAAATTTTCTCTCGATGGTTATTTTTTAAATACGTTGATTAATAAAAGTTTATTATTAATATGGTATCTAAAAATAATATTTATAGTATATTAATCTTTAGCTCAGCAATAAAAAGTAGAAATACGCACTGATGAAGTATATTAGAATGTAAACTAAACGAATCTCTATGATTATTAGTTGAAATAGCTTAAAGAATTTAAACCAGGGCTGAAAATATCTAAACATTTTCCCGGTCTGCAGCTCACTGTTTCAAGTATCTTTTTTAACACATTAAAAAATGCAAATAATTTAAGTCAACAACGATGTATTTGAGTAGCTGGGAAAATGAATAGGTATTTTCAGTCTTGATAAAATGCCATAGTACTTTTCTACAGTATTTTGTTACTGTTATTATTTTTTAATCTCACGTTTTACCCCAAATTATATAACCTATATAGCTTATTGTCCATTGGTCCATTGAATAAGTATTTCTTCAATGGAGTTAATTTATTGGATCAATGGACCGGAGCTCCATTGATAGCAATGGACAAATTTGCCAATGGTGTACATAAATTGGTGACGTAAAAAAGTGTATCTTAAAAACAAATAACAGACAACCTAATAAATTATTTAAATAACTAGGCTCTGGACTCCAATGGATCCCGTTTCCTAGTACATGTATAATTTGATAAAATTTATTAAGATAATACAACTTTTAATATTACAATTTCTGTGATTTGGTCAACTTATATCAGAAGTATAATTTTTTTTTTTTTTTTAGCTTTTAAAGCATATAAATTTTTTTTGTTTATGAAATTACGATTCTCCGATAAATTTCAAGAAATTCTGAAAAGTTTTCTCTAAGGTTGTTGCACGTGTCCATCCTTTTGCCTCACTAACAAGTAAAACAATCTTTTCCATCAAATGATCTAGCCCATCAGGCGAATGAAAATCGGATTCAACCAACAGCCTATCCTCCGGAACAGCTCTTATTAGATCATGCAACCGAGAATATCGTTCGTTAATTACTATGCTGAAAGAGAAATAAATATCAGTTGGTAGCTTCTTTTTCTTTTTCGGTCGAGTTTCTGTCAAAATTTTGATCGTATCAACAGAACCCCCATAGGAATGCATGCAAATTCGTGGTGGTAATGGTTGTTGTGAAAGAACTTTACGATCAAGTAGTTCTATTACTTGACCGGTTGCTTGAACACAATGCAAACTCACGGCTCGATTATATTTCGCTGCTAAATCTAACTGTTTCTCTAAAATTGCTATTTGATGTTGAATTTTTGTTTGAACTTTGCTGAGAGATTGTGTTTTTGGATCAGTCAAGCGTGCCGATTTATCTAAACCAACCTCACCAATGAGTGCTGTCGTATTAGTTTTGACCAAATTCTCAAGCTTTTCAAACCAAACATTGAATGGCTTTGGGGGAGGTAAATATACAAGTATTGGTTCTATATTACAATCTGTAGAGCTTTTGGGACCAATGTCACTCAAAACTGAACGGTAATGGATTTCACTTTCCGGTGGATCATCCTCAAGAGATAATAGGTGGGCAAACCAAGGATGAAAACCTTTGTCGCAAATTTCATTATTAAGTGTTCATAATAATTTCATATAGGGATGTTAACAGTCCGGCCTAGCTCAGTCTATTTTAACTCAATTCAGTCTGGTCTTTTTCGATTTAATTACAATTCAGCCCTAAGACCATTTAGAATCCAAACTTAAGACCGGTCTAAAACCGGTCTTTAAATTCATAATAGAAGACTGATCTAAAATCGACCTTTATAATAAGTTTAAATTCATAATAGAAGACTGGTCTAAAACCGGTCTTTATAAAAGTTTAATAGAAGACCTGTCTAAAACTGGTCCTTATAATAATCTTAAAACCGATAGATTTAAGACCAAGACTAGACCGTATAGGAAGAGTTGTTAATGGAGTACTCCAGACTATTAAGACATATAACCCATTTCTGGAGTGCTCAGGAGTGGGTATATGTTTTATTATAGTCTGGAGCACACCATTAACAACTCTACGTATAAGACCAGCTTCTTATAAGTTCAGACCAGTCCTATGACGGACTGCAGTCTATTGGTCCAAGGCCGGACTGTATAACATCCCTAATTTCATAAATAAAAAATATGTTAAATCATTACCAAAGCAGGGTACAACCTTGCTTTGAAACTTTGCACTCAGTTGCGACACAATGTCCAAGTCTTCAAAACGTGTCCCCATTAAGCAAAGTCTAGCGGTTTTCAACTCGCCAATTTTCGAAAGTCTTTCTCTATCGTCGTGGGCATGTGTATGTGCATCACCCGTTTTTGACCAAAGGAAATTTTCTTCGCTTTCTTCCATGTAAACTGACATTATCGACATTGTTACGTCAAATCTACGTTTTATAGTATTAAGGATTATCAATCACGTGAAGAGTGGCAATTTTATTGGGTGATGAAATCTGGATTTTGAGCTTGCATCGTCCTTAATTGCACACATGAAATCCGCTCTGACTTGGGAAATCATAGCCAAATGCTCGACCTCAAAAGCTCGAGTGGGAAAATTAATATTACCTCATGGACCTGTTGATACACCAGTATTTATGCCAGTTGGAACTCAAGGAACATTAAAAGGCATAACACCAAAACAACTAGAAGAATTAGGCTGTCAAATAATGTTAAATAATACATATCATTTGGTATTTATATTTTAAAACTTTGCTTTTAAATATAGGATAAATCCTAATTTTAAATAATATTTCTATCTGATTATCCTAGGGTTTAAAACCTAGTCAAGAATTACTTGAACAAATTGGTGGTTCGCATAATTTTCAGAATTGGAATCGGAATTTGTTAACAGTAAGAGATCTAATTATTATATATTTAATTAAATAATTAATTTACTTTTTCAACTTTATAACTCGTTTAACAGGATAGTGGAGGGTTTCAAATGGTTTCTTTGCTAAAATTGGCAAAGATAACAGAACAAGGGGTGGAATTCCAATCACCACATGATAATGAATCAACAATGTTACTCACTCCAGAGCATTCTATATCTTTGCAAAATTCTATCGGTGCTGATATTATAATGCAATTAGATGATGTAGTATCATCAGTAACAACCGGCCCAAGGGTTGAAGAAGCAATGGATAGGTCAATAAGATGGTTAGATAGATGTATAAGTGCTCATAAAAAACCAGACAGCCAAAATTTATTTGCTATTATACAAGGTGGATTGGATATGGATTTACGAAAGAAATGTGTCGAAGGTAAGAGTAATGAATAATACTTATTTATATTTAAAATTGACCAATCCAATTTATTTAATTATTGATCACAAGAAATGGTATTACGTGATACGCCTGGATATGCGATAGGTGGTTTGAGTGGTGGTGAAGAAAAAGATATTTTTTGGAGAGTGTAGGCAATTCAATCCTTCATATTCCTGTTTACATCATTGGGTTGTTATTTTTTCATTTCATAGCTTGTGACTGTCTAATTAATTAGAGTAACGCTATGTACCGATTTATTACCAAAGAACAAACCTATATATTGTATGGGTATTGGCTATACCGAGGACCTTGTTGTTTGTTCTGCATTAGGTGTTGATATGTACGATTGTGTTTTCCCAACGCGTACAGCGGTAACCATCTCAATTTAATTCATAAAATGGTGACTTGTCATGCTCATTTTGATCCTAATTCAATTTTTCTACAATAATAATAGAGATTCGGCAATGCACTAACATCCAAAGGTTCATTAAACCTAAAATCAGTCAAATTTTCCAAAGATTTTCAGCCTATCGAAAAAGATTGTGATTGTGTTGCTTGTAAATCGTATACTCGGTCATATATTCATTTGCAAACAACAAAAGAAACTGTCGGTTGTCATTTGATCTCGCTTCATAATGTTGCATATCAACTAAGATTAATGAGAAATATTAGGCAGGCTATTATAGAAGATAGGTTTCCATCGTTTGTAAAGCAAACCTTTAAGGATTTTTTTGGTAGTGAAGAAAAATATCCCGTATGGGCTATTAACGCTTTAAAAAGTGTTAATATCGATTTGTTATCTTAGAAATAATATAAGTACAGTAGATTAATTTACATTATATAGGCTTTGATTCAAAACATAGTACCAAAATAATTTAAATCTTAATATTCTCTTAAGTTCAGGATTGATATGATCTGGCGATTTATTAGTTTTCGAAAGACTTTTATATTTTATGAACTATAGTTTGCTTAGATCAATTGGTGGTCTTGATCAATTAAAAGTTTTACAATCTAAAATTTTATCGATTTAATTGGTTTAGCAGAAAAACTAAATAATTGTAAATTAGTTTTAACGAATACCTAATACATTCGACTTTTTTTTAAAAAAAAAAAGAAAAAAAACGTTACCAACGAATGGACAAATCGGTTGATATTTAGTATAGGTGGGCAATATATATAGATTAGTAGGTTAGGGTTATTTTCTTATATATAACAGAGGTGTAATATAGAGATGCAAATTTTAAGCATGTAGCTTTATGAAATTTTCATATATTTTTTGCATAACATGTCTATTTTTTACACCAATAGTTGTCACATATCCTATATGCCCACCTATACTAAATAAGATCCAAAAGTTTCATCGAATTTGGTCAAGAGGCTGTCAAGATATCTTCACTCCACTTTTAAAAAGATCGATTTTTCTTTAAATTAACATTGAGCAGATATCTCGACAATTAAGATAAAATTATGAAATTTTTTTTTATTTGAATTTTATAAACCCATAGAGCTCAAATAAAAAAGGTTCCATCGTATTTGGTCAAGTGGCTGTAAAGGTATCTTCGCTCAAAGTTAAAGAAAAAATCAAAACGTTTATCAAAAATAGAAGTTGCGCCAAATTTTTTTTAAAATTTGAATGATATTATCTTGGCAGTCACTTGACCAAATTCGAAGAAACTTTTTTTATTTGTATTCTAAAAATTCATAGAATTCAAATAAAAAAAGTCCAATTGAATTTAGTAAAGATATCTTCACTCAAAGTTTTAAAAAAATAAAAACGTCTGTTAAAATAAGAATTGTGCTCAAACTTTGAGCGAAAATATCTAACCAAATTCGATAAAACTTTTTTTTTTATCTAAATTATATGGACTAATAGAATTCAAATAAAAAAGGGTCCATCGAGCTGAATGTGAGTTATCTTTGCTAACAAAATTGTTTTCTCAAGTAGTGTTTGGCATTTGGACTAGAGGTATTACCCGGGTCAGTTGATCCGTACGGGTCGAAAATTAATCTAACCCGGGTCAGGATTTAAAATAGGCAAAATTTGCTAAAATAATATTTTAATGTACCTATATCTGTATATAATCATATTGATAGATTACAATTTTACTAAAGTTCTTACCGAGACAGTACGGGACAGTTTCTGATAGGTCATGAGTCAAAAATTGGATCAAGTAGTATGGATAAAGACTAATAAACTCGGATTGCTCGAAAAAATTTTTGATACCGTATAAGCGCGAAATAACACTCGTGGGCGTTATTCGTTCCGAATTAACGCAGAGTAGCATAATCGGAAAAATGATACACAGCCGATCTTCCATAAGTGCATCCTTTATAAGTGCACTTTCTTTCCATAAGTGCACTTCACATACACTTCTTTCTATCAATGCACATCATTTGATCCGTCTAGTGTAAAAAATTCGATGTGCGCATGGAGGATCGCACATGAAATTTTCTTATCTTAATATGAATAAAGCATGTGATCATATGAGTGCGCACATACTTCTTTACACTGGTAACATTATACGTATGTAGATTACATTCCATAACTTTTTCCTAATTACATACATTTATGGATAGATTAGGTTTAAAACAATTATATATAAGCAAATTTACCTTCCCGACATTTTTAATTAACTTACCCAAGGTAGGTTTAAACTGCTGTTTTTTGCAATTTCGGTTTTTTCGCTTTTATTTCTTGTCTTGCTTCATCAAATTCTATAATTTGATTAGCCATATTTCACATGATTCTGCTCCGCTTTAGACGACCCCAAAGATTGACGGTATTGGATTCAAAAAAAACCAACTCTTATTTCGAAATGACGCACATGGGAGTATCCAAATAATATTTAAATCGGATCTTTTCGGAGTTTGTACCGTATAAGCGCCTCGAGGTAGGACCGTCCATGTTACACAGACGATCCAATTGATAAAAAAATTTTTTTTATACGTTTTACAATACTTT